CTACCCTCCGCTGTTTACGACAGTGCCGCGCGCGCGGCGCGGCTGCGGGCGGCTGCTTTACGGCGCGTCGCGGCCATGGCGTCGGCGCTGGAGGGCGAGGCGGCGGCGCGCGGGGAGCGGCGGYCGGAGCGGGAGGCGCCGCTGGCGCAGGTGGGACCCCCGGCCGGTCCCGCGAACCGGGGGCGGCCCGGAGAGAGTCCCCGGTCCCCGGAAGGGGCCTGGGTGTCGCCAGCCGTGGCGAGCAGCCGCCCTGGCCTGGCCGCGGCCTCCCCGTGCGTGTCGGTGCTGCTGCGCCCAGCGCTTCAGGCAGCGTTTGCGCGTGCCCGTGTGCGCAGCGGGACGGGGCTCGGGGAGCGGCAGCTGCTGGGCCGCAGCGCTGTTGTTTGTGCTCTGGAGTCCAAGGGGTTCATGAATAAAGTAATAGCAGAAAACGGTCTCCCCGGACTAGATCTGTTTTCAGATAAAAAGATGCTGGAAAGTGACCTGAGTATCCTGGGAGTCCCCATGGTGGCGTTTTTCTTCTTCAGAGTAAAGTCAGAGAAATGTTTAGAAGTTATGAAGTTAACRTCTAGAAGTTATGCTTTGAAACTTCTAGAAGTTCCATCTCCATGTAGGAAGAGTTTCTTCAGTGTGAGGGTGACAGAGCCCTGGCACAGGCTGCCCAGGGAGGCTGTGGAGTCTCCATCTCTGGAGATCTTCCCAACCCGCCTGGCTGCCACCCTGTGCCCCGTGCTCTGGGTGTCCCTGCTGGAGCAGGSGGTTGCACTGGCTGATCCCTAGAGGTCCCTTCCAACCTCAGCCCTCCTGTGACTCTGTTATGGGCTGTGTGAGCATCTCTCTGGGCACTTGCAGTTCTAGGAACATTTAGAAGGCACTGGAATAGTGTAGGCAACAGGAATTCCTTTGAGTGAATTATTGATAAAGATGGGATGTAATTAGGTGTATTCTACACAGTAGGCAGGATGAGCTACAGGTTTGAATCTGCTTTATCCCTTCTGACAAGAAATTAAAGGGAATTCTTTTAAATTGGTAATAGGAAAAAATGCAAACGATAAATTGTTTGGATGCAAATTCTCCAGAGCCAAACTCTTCTCCGTGGTGCTTGATGGTAGGGCAGGAGGCAATGGGCACACACTGAACACAGGAAAATCTGCATAAATATGAGGAAATGGTTATTAACTTAGCAGTGGTTTAACATTGCAGGTTATTGTCCAGAGAGGTTAYGGAGTCTCCATCCAGGGAGATGCTCAGGGCCGTCTGGACAGGATCCTGGGAAGCTGCCCTGGGTGATGCMTTGGGCAGGGAGATTGGATCAGATGTTCTCCAGGGGTCTCTTCCAACCTCTAACTTGGAAATTTTTGCTTTTTGCTTTAGGAAAGGCAGTTGGGAAATGGCATAGGTCTGGCACTTCAGTCTTGATGCCCTCRGTGCTCTACAGTTTCTGGAAATGACTCTGTTTCAGGAACTCTGTCCCTTGAAAGATGTAATATYCAACTGGTTTTCCTCAAGGAGCTCTTAGTTGTAATAATATTGAAATTATTTAGTCCATATAGGTAGGACTAATGTGAAAGGAAGCCCTTGAACTCTGCTTGCAGGTGCCTCTGGTTTGCTGATGGATAGGGAATCTGAGGGAACCTTTCCTGTATCATCAGAAGTAATTATCCTGAAATCCCCAACCTCACAGGAAAAGCAGGAATTAGCTTCTCCTCCCTTTCCCTTCTCCCCACCCCCAAAATTCAATATACACAKAAATCAAGAGATTATCTAGTAGATTTTGAAACAGTTGTAGAAATAGAATTGTTTCCTTCATTAACTTTTTATCTTTAAAAGAAAGTGAGGRGATGGATTCTGTTTGGTTTTCAACTGCTCTTGCATGATTTTTCTSTGGTTATGTTTATCTTGTGTAGTTCAGTTGAAGAACAAAGAAAAACCCCTTGAGTGCCTTGATAGGGATTTCTCTTTTAAATTCTGTAAACATCTCTTTTTGTAGCTTTTCTCTGCAACTGCATTGCTAAAGCACAGCAGCTGGTTGTGTTTATCATAATGATCAGTAATCGAATAATTAAGTGTTGACGTGCAAGTTGTTAATTAAGCTTCAGAAACAGCAGCTTGTTTTGATGTGTGGAGTAGTTCATAACACCACTGTTTCAGTTTGCAAGTTTAGAAAGCGAAAATAGGCTGGGTGGTTCGGTAAATGCAGGGATGTCTGCTCTTTTGAATGAGAACATAAATTCCCCTGAAAAGCCACCAATAAACAGGATTGAATTGCTCCCTAATTTTGTGCTCTGACAATTTGTTTCTGTGTTTTGTTGATCATCTGCTCTGTAGTTTTGGATGGACCTGGATGACGCTTTTACACTTTTGATTTTATGGTTGATGTGATTTGGCTGTTGCTTGCATAGAAAATCCTGTCTTCTAATTGCTAGGGCTGGATGCTTTTTCAAACAGGGTAGGCAAAATTATAGCACTTTGAAACAGGTTTATTGTACAATATGAATTTGAATTTAATTTTACAGTGTATAACAATATCACAGAGTATACTGTACTTGAACTTTAAGCAAGCTGTGAAATGATTTCCTCAGTGAAGTGCTTCTTAAATCAGCCGAACAGTTGGGTTGTTGCAGAGAGTGATATTTGCAGTAGTGATGAAATACTTTGACACTATTTTGCACTTTTAGTGAAAAAAAATACAGAAGTTAATCTTAAGCCAGTGATTAATAGCAAAACATGTCACTTTAGTTTTTATGTTTCATTTCACTTCATTTTCATTTTATGTTCTTTCCCTTTTAAAATCCATTGGAAGTGTTACATCTTTGGCTGTGCTTCAGAGGAAATGAGTGTGTTAGTGCTATTATGCTCACTGAAATCTTGAATCATTGGTTAATATTAGAGGGGTCGTAGCCCTGAAAAGTGAACCCTGCCTTTCCACAAAAGGTCTCACACTTCCAACCAAGCAGTTCTATATGTGTTTTTGCAGGCCATGTTTTGGTTTAAGAGACAGTTACTTTGGAAGCCTTCTGATATGTCCGTTTTCATGTTTGCCAGTTCTTCTGGTGCTCTCTCTGCCCCATTCTGGAGAGGTTGGGCCCAGCGTGACTCCTGCAGCTGATGGGCAGCCATAGCTGCAGGCAGATTGCCCTCACTTGCAGTCTGCTTCCTAAAGTGCACRTTGCCTTGTTGGGGAATGATTTTGGGTCACAAATACTTTGACAGTTGTCTTGTACACCTTTCGTCAGGAGCAAATGCCRAAGAGCAGCAATGTTTTCAGGGGCACAGCTCCTTCTGCAGGATGAAGGGACTGGTAGCACTGGTGCAGCTGTCAGCTTGGGGTGGAAACTAATCCCTTTTATACATCTCCTCCCTCATAAGGCTTCAGGAAGGTAAGAGCAATGGGAATGTTGAGCCCAGAGAGGCATAGCCTAAGCATTCATGAAAATAACCGTGTTAGTGAGATGGAAAATGTGCAGCAGCATCAAAATTATYGGAGAGGACGTGGCCAGATCCCCTGAAGAGACAGCACTCACGTAACCAGCCTTTGGCAGCCTTGAGCTCTGTATTCATGTAGGCTGGGAGAGTAAGGCAGGCCCCAGCAAGCTCTCTGGTAGTATAACATGGAAACCGATGAACTARTAGAATGGGTTGTGTTTTAGGATGGAGATGGTCCTGAAATTAGAAATGAGACCTCATAGTTTAGATTTTTGGTGTCTTATGTTGACATCCTAAGGACTGGGCTAGTTTGTGTAGCAGAATTTGCTTAACAAAGTGGTTGTCCAAAGGTTATTTTTTTGAGCTGATTCTATGATCTTCTGCCAAGGTTGCACTTTTTTTTTTTTCTCCTTTCTTTTCCCCTCYTTCCTGATATTGAATTGGTAGCTCATATGGCCTTTTAAGAGGGCTACTTTGGAAGTAAGATCTGCAGAAAGCTGCCCCTGTTCTTGGTAGGATTCATGCTCTGTCAGGATAGTTCCCTGAAGTGGCGAAGTCAACTGAAAAATTGAGCTTTCCCTGAGTGCCATTTGCTTCCTCTTTGAGCTGGGAAATCTTGACTTACTAGCAGTAAAGTCTCCCAAAAGACTTTCCACCTTGGACCTTCTGTCCACCTTGGCTAACGTTGCTTCCATATTGCTGCAGAGTAGTCTGTTTTTAGCAGGTTACTGCCAGGTCTTTTGTAGTGCCTTGTGTAGTGCCTTATGCTTCATTTTGTGCCTGTTGCAGAGAGGACCATGAGGAAGTTTTGGGAATGCTTCAGGTTGCAGAGCAGGCTGCTTGTCCTCAATATTAAGTGCTTTTAGTGGTACTGTGTGTTCATGTGTGATGCCTGCACCCTCACTTGCAAAGTTAATGCATTGCTGCAAAATAAAAATTATTTCAGAAATGCAGCATCATATATTGGTGAAGAAATATAAAAATGTTGATGCARTGGTGACTTAAAATGGAGCTGCTATACTTGTCTGTAAGGTGAAAGGATAAATTGTTGAATATCTTTGTATTAATGAACCTTCATTTGAAAGTGGTGCTTGAATTGCTGTGGGTTGGAGATGTGAACCTGTGAGAGTTGGCCTCCCTTCTATAGAAGAATAGGTCTAACAGGGGATTGAATTATAAAATGTAGAAAGTGAATAAAAAATRTCTGGATACTAGTTTAGCCATGCATGATTATAAAAGACAAGTAGAATAAGTGGTTAAGGTCTGAAGCTAATAAGGAAAGTAGCTTAGGTTCCCCCTCTTCTTTCTGAAGAGGTGTTTGAAATAAGAGGGGGGGGGAAGTCTTCCTTTATTATAAAAAATATTATAATTTGATGGCAAAAGGAGCTAGACAGAAATATAGACCCAAAGATTATAGCTGTTAGCATTTTAGCCTGGTGTTATATTTTGAGCCAAAATATAACTTCTTTAACCTTTTATAAATCCCTAGGCAACTCTTTATTTTTATTATTTTATTTTACATATAGATATTGTTAACAATCACCTGTATTTTATATCTTGGTCTAAGAAAAAGCAAACATTTTTTCTGCTGCTTTTTGTGTCTGTCTCTTTTTAACAGTCTGGTGGCAGTGCCACTACAGGTTTGTCTTGTCCAATCCTGTGTCATCCGGTGTTCAGGAGGCCACAGCCTGCAGTTTTGTGACGATTTAGAGCCATTCTGTGCTCTGAATATACATTTTTTTACTTGAGGCCAAAGTAGGATCTGCCTCTTCTGTTAGGATCATGTATTTCATTTACCTAAACACTTGCTTGTATCTTTTTCTGTTTATTGTAGATTTAATAAAAAGTGTTCCTARGCCTTTTGTACCTTATTTATAATATTAACTTCATTTTGCTCAATGTATATTTGTGAGTTTTGTAAGTTTGTCATTTTTGAAAGAAATATGAATTTTATATAAAATGACTTTTTTATTTAAAGAGAAGGGGAGCAGTCTGAATCACAGAAAAGACTAGCAGATGAATAGAAGAGAGTAGTGGAGAATAAATGAAGGAGGGTCATTTGAAGGAGGGTTTCCCTCTGTGCAATAGATCATTCAGTTTTCAGTGCTCAGTTGGAATATATTCTTGATTTACCTTTTCATTTAATAGGGCTTTATTTGTTGTTAAAAGGGACATGCTGGCTAAGGGAYTGACTGAAGCGCTGCTGTGCAGTTCCTGTGGTAGCTCTGGTTGGGAATGCACAGTTACTACCACATCCCTATCCCGGCTGCTGTAAAAGTTGGACAGGATTGTGTCAAGGGCTGCTTAAAATTGCATAGGCCATGTGATTAAATATTTGCTTATCCTTAATTAAAGGTTGTTAAATGCCATATGGACAAAAGCAGCCGTAATGTTATCTGTAGAGCAAATCTGAAGTGGTATCAGATAACTATCTCGTTTGCTGATGAACTAGCAGATAATCAACTTGTTCTAATGGTTATCCCACCTCTACTTGCCTTTGTGATTTGTTGCAGGTGAAAGGAAAGTTGGGCTTACTTATCTCTAACAGATAACAGGAGTTATTTTTAAGATTTTGAGTATCTATTTTCAGATTATTGTGTTTTATCTGGTGCTTGCATTTGATATGTTGAAGACTATTGGGTTTTCAGCAGTCAAGAAAAAATCTAAAAGTACTTTGGAAGAGAATAAATACTTGATATATACTTGTTTTGAAGCAACAATATGTTTTTTGCTTTGTGCAGTATAATCAACATACTGATATGTATTCATACATGGATGTAATCTCAGCTAACCARGAAAGCCCTGTAAATTCTGTGTAGTAATAAACTGATGCTGTGGTTAAAGTCTACCTATATCTTGAAATAACTGTTTGGGAATTCATACATTTCAATGGTGGAAATACCAGGTTGAGGGAAAACAACTGTGCTATCCAACCAGAATTAGAATGGTGCYTTTATATTTGAAATGCTTTTCACCTGACACGCATGGAAGTTGGGGCGCCTGTTGTTCAGGAACTCATTGTTCCTGAAATCTGCTTTGCAGGGCTCAGAGTCCCCAGGGAGCTGGGTTCACCGTGCACGGTGGAGATGCAGCCTCTATGGACACCTGTTTTTGGGGGCTTTTAGGGTAGCAGCTGGAATTGGCTGCTTAGCTGGACAGTAACAGATTTATGATATCTGCCCCTTGGTTGTTTGCAAAACTAAACCTTAATTCAGCTTTTCATGGTACTCTGGGGAACAGAAGGATGTCATTACTGTAGGCCCATCCCTTACACATAGAGGGAAACAAACTTGCATCTTCTATTATTAACTTTCCAGGCAGAAAATGACTGTATTAAGAGATGCTGATAAGCTGGACTTGCTTAATATACCTAAGAATGATGAAAGGGTGACTGGGAACTGGTAACTTGAGCCTTGGGCCTTTCTCTACCAAAAGTTAAACAGRGTACGTGGAAGCTTGTCCTTTCCTAGTCTAAGTCTGATAAGATGCTGTGTTGTGGAGCAAACAAGCTTGAAGTCTCTTGCTGTATGTGTATTTTTTACCATTTGTTGGACGCTCTACAAGGTCTCTGTTAGACAGCTTTTGTTAGGTTCATCTCTAGTGTCCATGTCTACCTAGCTATAAACTTAGGTTTTCTGTGTGTTGTTTGTAGACATCTTATGAATTGCAGAGTTGGGGCTATTGTCCTTTACTTGTCCATGAATGCTGGTGTGATTAGTTACTTTATTTTGATGACATGAATATGTTTTTAAGACTGCAGGATCTTCATGGTCTGTATAGACTAAAGCAGAGAGTAGCATTCAGTGATTTCTGCACTGAATTTCAGGGGCCTTGTTCAAGCTCCATATGTGTCTTGTAGTCGCCAAAAAAGAGCTTGTTTGGATCTACAGATGCAAAGCTGTAGAGTGAGGAAGGGCAGTACATACAATGGTTTAACTGAATTTCCCATTTAACATGTAATCAAAATGAATTTGTGATGCTGTCCTTCCAAAAGGAAAGTTCTCAGGAACWGTTCTTAGAATCATGTGCTGTTGTATGAGCATGACTTAGAAAGGTGTGTGCAAGTCATGCCACTGCAATTTGTCTGTTTTTCTCCTCTATTCACCTTAGGCCAAAATTACTTATGCGAAGGAGCAGAAGCAAAAGGTGCTGAAGCGTCTGCGGGGTGAAGACTCATGGATGCTGCCTGATGTGAACGAATGTGCGGAACAASTGGAAAAGGTGACATGACTGTAAATCATTGAGTTGTATTTTTAGTTTTTCAGTGCCTTCCTGTGAACAGAAATCTTTGGTAGCTTTAGGATAAACACTCAGCTTCTAAATGCCTTTTGCTTTAAAATTAGCGTTCTTAAATGAGATATAATTTTCTAGCCAGAAAGAGGAAGAACTTTTATGGTTCAATTCCAAATTCAGTTTCTACCAAATGCTGAAGAGTAGGTGCTGCCAGACAAGAGTAGCACTAGGAGAAGAATTACAGATGWTCCAGGGCTTTTTGGCAAGTCCTTGTGTGGAGGATCTCAAGAAAAGCCCTAAGAGAACCTCAGAGTACTTTGTTTTGTAGCATTAGTTTAAAATCTGAGTAGATATTTCAAAAAGGAAAGGTCTGCCCTGGTAACCTTGGCATGGTGATTCYTAGGGAAAAAGCTTTGAGCAAAAAGATATCTGTATAATTATAGTTCAGTCATAGTTCCAGTGAAAAATATATGGAGGGGAGAGGAGGGTGTAAGATGCCTATTGTAGATATGAAATGTAAAAACTAGAAGAAACAGAAGAGAGTGGATAATAGAAACTAATAAAACATGTAGCTATGTGGAGCTGCATGCAGATTTTGGCTTTTCCCGGTGTCAACTGGTTAGTATATTGTGATGATTCTTCTGTGTTGGAGATCTGGTTTAGTTGATTTCATTTAGAGACTTTTACTTACAGGAACATTCTGTGCAAAAGAAAAAGAAAAAGGATAAACATTCAAGAAAATCTAAGAAAGAAAAGAAGAAAAGCAAAAAACAAAAATCTGAAAAGAAGGATGACCTCCTTGATAGTTCTTCAGTAAGTAAAAAATTTTAAAGTGCTTCAGAAGGCATTTTTTAAACYTGTATTTTTTAGTGTCTGCACCTAGACGTGTTTAGTAGTCATATCTCTTAATCTCTTACTTTCTGTTGGGAATAACTCTGGCAATGTGTGTCTTTTTAATACAGTAAGTATTTAATCAATTTAGAAGTTGCTATTATTTGAATACCTTCAAATCTTGTGATATTCATTTCACTCATTAGGAACTGAGAGATATACCGATTTTCAGCAGAAAGAAATTGAAAACAAAACTCTATTTTGGGAACTTTTTGGAGAGAGCAGAGATATTCTTTGTTGTTGTGATTGCCAGGGGCATATTTGATAGAACATTGTCTACTATGTCCATATGCCTGACRTAGCAAATATTAGATTTTAAGCTGCATTGCTACTGCCTCTTCTACCATGCAATTTCAGCCCATCCAAGAGAGGATTCAGATTTATGGGTTTGAATCTGTATGCCTTTATGTTGAAGGGCACTGCAGCAAGGCAGTACAAGAGGCTTGATTGCAAAACAGGGTGTTGCTTTCTGACTGCCGTGTGTAAAATGGTAAGAGGATGTGTTGGTGCAAGTGACTRTAATTTTCTTCTTGGAGATTCTTGTTTATTGAGAGATTCATGCATGCAGTCTGATATTTCTTTCCAAGGGACAGATAACAGAAGTGAACAGTTGTTTTTCATGATGGGGAACTAATCTCAGCCACAAATAGGTCCCACATTTCCAGTAGGAAGCATCAAAAAGCTTCACATCTCATCAGGGAATCCCAAGATACAGCACAGTCCAGACTGATACTTTTAATTCAAAGTCTGCTTTTCTCATGGCAGCTTCCTATAAATAACAGAGAAGATCTGTTCAATAGAGGGCTATTTGCTCCAAGCATCGAGTCTCAGCGCACTGTTTGCAATTGCCAGTGCAGGAAATGGGATATAGAAATAAAAGGAGAGAGAATGTGAAGTGTTTTATAACACATCATGTTATTGGTTTTACATTAATTGTTTTTATGTAAAGTATAATTGCACATGAATTTAGAAGATTTGTGTTTGTAATGTCACAAAAAAAACATTCGAGTGTTGTCTCTAGAGACCTTATTACTTTTTATTACTGTTAAACTGCTAGCGTGAGCTAGAGTTCTTGCATGCTGTGTTGATGGGCTTGTGAAGCCTGGTGTGAGRTTGTCATTGTGCAGTTTTCTTGTGAAATATCAGTATTTTTACTGTCATTACTATTAAGCTAATAAAGAGTATTAAATTAATAATACCTAGCCATATGCATCAAATTTGAATAGCAATAAACTTTGTATTTATTTTATATAAGCATATAGTCATATGTTACTGTGCAGTAATTATCCTTTATATCAAACTCCATGTTTTTAGGATTCTTCAGTTGAATGGGTTGAGTCAAATGCGTCGCAGTCAGACAATACAGAAAAGACTTGGAAAGTCAGCGAGCAGTCAGACACTAGGGAAGAGCCTTCCCTACAGGTGAGCAGTCTGATAATCCAGAAATAAATTCAGCGTGACCAAATGTGAAACGTGGTTAGGGTTTCTTGAGAGCTCTTTTAAAAGGTGTTGAACAGCAGCTATTTTACAAGCATACTGCTGTGTTTATCTCGATAAATATTACATTGCTTTCACTGAAAGAGTTCTCTACCTGATAGCTCTTTATTATTTAATAGGACATTAAGCTTGATGTGGCCTCATGCCAGTTCCTGTTACTGTATTTTGAGCTCAGTCTCCTTAATGAAGATGAATTAAGTATCTTGGCTGGACGTGTTAATTTTCTTCCTGGTGATTTTATTTATTTATTTATTTATTTATTTATTTATTTTTGCCTCTTCCTAGTCCTAGTGATTTTTCTACGAGTGACTGGATTTTTGCTTCTGTTGATGACTGCACAGATATAAGGAAGTAATGGAGATGCAAAACTTTATAGCAACAACCAGTATAATCAAGGCCTTTCATGGTGTTCTTACATGACGCATTCATGTCACATATTCATGGCATTTTCTTTTAGTTGCATTAAAGCATTGAGTTTGAATTTAGTGTCTAATTCTACTGCTGAGCAGAGTCACCTTTTCAGGTCCTGGATTTGGGTATTTGGCCAAGAGAATGAAAAAGATCCTCTAAATTACATGTATTGTCTAGAAATAAAATACAAATCCTTCTGTATGTCATGGTAACATGATAAACATAAAAATACTTCTCCAAACATTTGTCATTTAATGTCAACTGTTCTGTGCACTTTAAGAATGTCCACATTTATGAGAAATATACTTGCAAAATACATTTTCTGATCATCCGTAATTTCTGTAGTTCAGTTTCCTTTATTGTGCAGCATTGGAATGCATAAACTCATTTCCTTTTGGATGAAATTAAAAGGAGGAAAGCAAAAAAAAAAAATCCGAACCAAGCTGCAGATCTGAAATATATATATATAGTGTTGATATCATGTTCTTTTCACAAAGGTTTGTGTTTTGTAGATCTCCCTGTGTTGGTCCAGATTGCTTGCTAACGTGAGAATAGCTGCTGTTAAATCATTTGAAAATAGTCTGTTTTCCAGTTCCCCTTCTCRGAAGATATTTGAGAAGTGGAATGTGGTGTTTCACCTCTGAAACTCCCCAGTATGTTGTCTAGCATCAGCATTTTTAAGCAGCAGAGAAATGATGTGACATACAGCTTCTGTTCAGGTGAACATCTCAGACCTGAACCTCACTGAAGACACTTGTGGAAGGACATATACCGAAATAGATATAATCTTGTCATGTTGTTTGCTAGATTGTACATAGAAGTAGAAGTATTCCCCAAAACGACTTAGCTTGTTTTTTGTAGAGAAGTTTTTAGATATGTGTGTCACTGTTTTCTTTTGGGATTTGATAAATATTTTAGGTGTTTAAAAATTTTAGGTGTTTAAAAATTTTATTTTTTTGTATGTGCTGAAACAGACATAAAAGTCATAAAATCCAAAGCAGCAAAATACAGCTCTAGAACAAGATAGAAAAGGAATTGATTTGTATGTCCAGGGTTCTGTTAGAAGTGCATAAGTTACATATATGGCTCTGCATATTTATTAGTTCCATAAATGCTTTGGGAAGAGATGGTTTGAATTACAAAGATCTCTGTGGAATTTGTATGTATGCTAAAGTGAATGCTGAAGGAATGGGAAGATTGGACTTCTTAAATTTGTATTCTGTTTTCATATAAAGTATTAAGAAATCAGCTTTAGTGACACCTACACTATTCAGTGTAAATATCCTTTGTCAATAGTTGGCAGTTGTTTGATTTGCACTTGAAATGTATTTTGGTTGGAAGTACAAACACTGATTCTGTGTGTTTTACTCTGGGCTGAATTTTTTTTTCTCTTTTTTAAGAGAGAAGAATGGATGACTTTAGACTTCATGTCTTTGAAAACCACATCAGCGGCATCTGTCAAAACTGAAAAACAAAAGGAAAAAATACTGGAAAGACAGAAAGCTCAAGAAATTGAGCAGGTAAGAGGAGTCAATTTTTTTTTCTTTTTTTTCCCCCTTTATCTTATTCAACTCTGTATAATGATTTCATTCAAATACCCAAGTCTTTGGATGTCACTAATTGTTTAAATTAACTACTGATGTTATTTACTGCGAGCAGTATTTCTTTACTGTGCAATAATGATTTCAAAATTGTTCTGCTGGTAATGGGAAGAGTTTATACAGAAGGCTTGTCTTGTTTTATACTATCTTCTAATTAAGAAGCCAGCCTCTCCATGTTGCATTTTATTAAAAGAATGAACATCTTTTTAGAGTAGTTTTGAAACTGCATGTGGTGGTGAAGATTGAGGTATCCTGATGTTAATTTTTTTTTTTTTTTATTATTCCTCTTTGTTGGAGATGCAATAAAGAAATCTTTGCCCTGAACCTCTCATGGCTTTGTAACTTCATGAATTTTCCTAAAACAATTAACTTTTTCTGTTTTAACCCAGTGCCCTGTTTTCTGTTAAAAATTTAGACTTCCTCATCATACCAAACATAAATGTCTTTGGAAGATCTTTTTATGTGTGAGCCTTTCCTACCTAGATAATGAGCTCCTCACTCCTTTTGTATGGGTCTAATTTTTCAGACCGGTCACAACTTTGGTTTCCTCTGTCTCTTGCAGTTGTCTACGTGTTTTAGGGCACACTGCCTATACAGAATGCACTGAAGCAGGCAAGGCCTAAGGTTCTCTGCATTGCAGAGTAGAGCAGAATATACCCGTTAATCTCAAAATCTGTTAGAATTTACATTATGTTATTTTGTAATAGTGTGCTGTTTAATTTAGCATTGCTGGTTTCCATACACAGATTCTGCACCATGTTGACCATTCCAAAGTAATGGTGCTTTAGTCACGAGTTTTTCCCTTATAAGTGGGACACATGAACATACTAGTAAGTCYAAGCAGATTGCAGATCTCTAATAATTGTTGGTAGATATATGCTGTACTTGTATTTGTTTGCATTTTAATTATTATACAGAATAGATACTGTTTATTCTGAAGTATGATGTGGGTAGTTCAGAACAATTTTGATTTTTAATGTAAATTAGTCCTTTCTATTTTCAGTCCTTTTGCTAAAAGTACTACTATAGCTCACTGTATTGAGCTTAAAGTTGGAATTCAAGCCTTCTTGAATTCTACTAGAATTCAAGAGAAATGGAAGAGCTGATCAGAGCTACAGTTTCAGTGTATTTGTAAGCTGTCTTATAAACTAAATACTAAAGTATTTTGCTTTTAATGTTTTTTTTGAAGACTACTACTACTTTAAGGCTGCCTTGTTACTGCTGTCTTTTTATTTTAAACTGACTAAAACTGCTGGTTCTTGATTTTGTTTTCATCCCTTATTATCAACAACTAGGGTTAATACAAAAATTCTTYGACTTTCTTTGGAAGCTTGAGACTGGAACCACTAATAGTGTTGATTATTTCCRTATCTATTATTTCATTAGATGTGAGTGGAAATGGTTGTATACGTTTGTGGCCTTCTCACATATTATCTCTGTTCTTTTCCTTCTTTGTTTTTCTTTCCTTTTTATTTTTCTTTTTGTTTTTGCTTTTGGTTAGTGCAGAGAAGTGATTTAATTAGATATTATAAAACTGATGTATATCTTAATCCTAAAYTGAAGCACATTTTACAGACTGTGCTCTTTGGAAGACACTATTTCCTTTGAAGTTTGTCACTGTTTTTCACARAGAATGTTAGCTATTATTTACAAGAATCTTTAGTAAATCTAAATGAAAACATTGATTCCAAATCTACACTGTCCCACTGAGTGCATGCATGTTGATAATATAGTATTTTCTTTTTTAGGTGGATAACTAAAATGTTCAATAGTTTTTGTTAAGGTCATGTTGTAATGGATTACATTCATGCAGATTGAAATTATTTCTGTTTTAGGCGAGGCTTTCTGAGAGAGAACTGAATCCCTATTGGAAAGATGGTGGTACAGGTTTGCCACCAGAGGAAAGTGAAGCAGCTCCAGCTAAGAAAGGTAAAATACAACTTTAGTAACAATTTCACTCTTCTTGCTCCGTTTTTAAGTCTCCTTGTTACTAGCAAATTGCTAATAACATTGATGCAGAATTACAAATAACTTGCTATAAAGTAAAATTGTGGGGAAGATCAGTAATAAATGCTGGTAAATGCTATTTTACACRATTTCTCTTGGCTGGTTTTTAATCTTGAGTGGTTTGACCTTCAGTTTCTTCATAGAAATTCTCTACTTTGAACTAATTAAAAGAAAACATGATTTAACCAAGACAGGATAAATTGTTGTCATCTCATTTGGTTTCCTTCATTCCATTACATGAATTATAGTTTTAAAATATTCAATCACAGAGGCTGAGTCACATTTAAATGAAGTACATTGCAGATGCTGTTTGTGAAAGATATTATTTCTGTAACCTTTTCACTGCTTTCCTTACCCCAGGGTTGTCCTGTCTGTTTCCAGAAAGAGCAGCTAGAATAAATGTTTTTTGTAATGTCATGGAACATTCATTACASGATGAGATGGGTGCTGGTATCCTGGTGACAGGACCAGTGGGGTCCCTGACTTTCCTGGTTGGGAGCTTTTCCTAGTGGACTGTTGGTCCTGCAAACCATTAGCCTGTGACCATGTGGCAGCTTTTAAGAGCTGCAAAGATCAGCACTCTGTAAGAGGTGTCAGGCATCAGAGTGGGGAACCTAGGACCTTTGCTAACCTTTCAAATGAAAAGCAATGGATTTACTCAGTTTTCACTGTACCAGGCTGTACGTAGGAGTGTGTCAAATAATGGACAGGGAAAAGAGAGAAACTGTAAGAAGTTTCTTCAGTTTCGTTGAAATCCCCTACAGTTTCCCATTAATCACTTCTGCCTCGGAAATGTTTGTTGTGTTTTAGGTTAAAATGGAGCAGCTTAAGTGATACCAATGGGATTAGCAAGATATACCTTGCATTAACTTATAAAACCATGTAATTGTATTATTACATTCCGTATTCTTTTATCTTCCTTCAATTTTTTTTTATGTTAGGTTAAGGTTTCATATCACAGGCAGAGTATGTTTTAAATAATCTTAACTACTAAAATTGAAAAATGTCCTTGTTTTTTGCCTTTAGTTACAGTGGTAGAAGATGCTGGATTGAGTTGGTTACAAAAATCATACAGAAGGATGAAGGAACAGGCTGAGAGAGAGAAACGGAATTTTGAGGAAGTTGTAGCTGAGAGATATGGGGTAAGCATCTTGAATCAAACATTTTTTTTCTTTTACTTACAACTGATGGATGCTTGGAAAATTTTACTTTCACATGAAGGCATAAATACTTAATGTGTAAGGTAAGATGGAAGGGAAGATTCTCTGATGTGTCTCTCAATTGGTGAAACACAGCCGTTTGCATAATGTTGTCTAACTATTTTGTATCTATTTGGCTAAATATTTTTAATGTAGGAGGTACAGTAACAAATTGAATATCTTTCTACATTGAGATCTTCATGTGGTGCTTGTTAAAAAGTATATAAGTGCTTTCAAAGGCCTGAGCCATATTAGCAGAGATATTTCTTCCTCTTATACAAACAGTCTACATATGACAATGCCAGCATAATATGAAGAGTTCTGATTTTACCAAAAATAAATATTCCACCTACCTGTGATCTGCTCAGATGAGATGCATTGGAGAATGCCACTTGTGAAGTGTTAAAAAAAAAAAAAAGTCTTCAAAAGTTATTTTTCAACAAATAAACTGCCATAAAAATACCAATTCTGTAAAGCCTGTGTCCGYCCATGTTGTGATACCATCTTTAAAAACTGATAAAAAATCTGGAGTGTTTATTGTTTAACATTTGAGGGTTTTTTCCCCTGTGTTTTGGTCAGGGCTATTGGTGGAAATCTGGGATAAGGTGGTATAACTGCATAYTACTACATTTGAATGGAGTTGTCACGATTCTTGCGTGATGAAACTAAGACCACTAATACCAGCAGAGATCAGTCAATGCTGGTGATTCTGAACACTAGTCTTACCTTTTCAGAAAACTAATATTCAAAAAATAAAGTGCAGTAGCTTTCCAAGTACAGGGTAGTGCCTGACTTGCTTCAGTATCTCATGTTTTGAGGCAAAAGAAATACAATTGATGATGATTAATTCCACTCAAAGCAGAGAAGATAAACAGTCTTTTGTGCAGTTGGCTAATGGTTGGGTGTTTTTCCAGAAAGCTAGAGACAGGGATTCAAAGCCTGTTTCAAGAGAAGGGTTTTTAACCTACTCTCTCATGCTTAAATCCATACCCGGATTATATCCCTATCCYGTACATAACTAGATAGTAAAATGGTTTTCTGGAACAGTTCTGGTGAAGCAGAAAGCTCATGAGCACAAAAAAGGAAGCTCTTTAGCTCAAGGAGGAGGCAGTTCAAGACATTGGTCCCTGCTCTTAGGAGTGCTTCAGCACTTCATAGTCGGTGGATGAAAGGCTGAAATAGTCCAACAAAAAGGACCTCTGCTTCACAGCAGAGCACCTTAAACAGTAGACTATAGCATTAAACTCCCATTTATTTTATATAGGTCTTCCTTTGCACTTCATGGCCCATGCCTTCCACCTGCACAACGGCTTATTTTCCCAGAAAGGTGCCTGTTTTACAATAATTTATAGGGACCTTCACAATACCCCATGAGCATAAAAACAGAATTTATTTATTATTTTTTCTTGTAGTCAATGGAGATATTTCAGTCACGATTAGAAGAAGCTGAAAAAGTTGCATTCAAAAAAGAAAATTATAGACAAGGAAGGTGGAGGAAATCTGACTACTCAGAAAGTCAAGACAGGAAAGAGCAGCGAATGAAGGAGGCTCAAGATGAAGGTGATATAAATAAGAATGTGKTCAGAGGATACACTGGGGAGAAGTATGGCAAGGGATGGGCACAAGAAAACAGAGGCTGCAAACGAGATAGATCAAGAGAAGACCAAGGTCCTGGCCTCAGCAGTCCAGATGCAGAGCTGAGAAGCCACAGCTCCAAAGCAGAAAAACTGTTTGAGGGAAAACAAAGTCGGGAAAAAAGTTCCTCCCTCAGCAACATGAAACACAAATTTTTAAAACCCTCTGAAGATGATTTATCATCGTATAGTTTACATAAGGACTGTGAGTCACAGCAGACGTCTTCAAAACTGTCGGTTCACAGCTCTTTGAGCAGCCGTTTCCAAAAACCTGGCGAGGATCCTGCACTGTGGACCAGAACACACGCAAAAGGCAGCAGTGAGAAAGTCGGGTCCGAGCGACAGTCAGCAGGTGCTCTGGAACCACTCARGAAGAGTTGGGATAGATCCTCAGGCGATGGCAAAGAACAATCACAGCAGCAGGACCCAGGAAATACCTCGGCGAAGAAAGACACATTATCAAGCAATGAAACATCGTGTGCTAGGTATTTCACAACCCTTTGCTTGTTGACCTTTGTTTGCTTTACTGTTCATGGTGAAGTGTATATACCTGTATATACCTGTATATATGTGTATATATACTRTATATACCTGAAACTGTATCTTTCTGTGTTYCTGGTGAGATTACTCCTTGTCACTTYAATTGTTTTAGCTTGGCTGATTTTTGAATAGCAAAAGCATAAGTACAGAAGATGATTTAACAGGCTAATGCTTCTGAATTAATATAGCAATGATAGATTTGTTACCTGTGAGATGAACTTGTACGTTAAAGTAATAGCATATGAAATATAGAAGGTATTTATTTGGAATACTGCAAGTGGTAGTATTTGTACTTTGAATAATTTCCCTCAGATCTTCCTGGTAAATTAAGCCAAAAAGAATTTTAGGTGTCAGGGTGTCAGACAGTGTTAGGCAAGTACATGGAATTTAATTGTTTCAGAAAGCTGGACAAACAAATATTTCTGTGTGGTATATAGAAGAAGGCAGCTATGATTCAGTTAGAAACAGGATTTGAAGAAATATAATCAAATTTAGTTTTCTCTTTTTCATGTGCTCACATCAGTTATTTGCATAATGAAATCTTATAGCAAGGTAATGAATTTGATTTTAATGCTTAATTTTTGTAGTCTAACAAAAAAAAATAGTTTTAAGAATAGTAGCTACATGTATATTTACAAAGAAAACTCATGTACTAAATCCATACTGCCCGACTAGCCAGGAACAGATGGATGAGTCCTCGTTCTTGTATTGTGCAAGTTGGATTTGCTTTCYAGATTTTACTTATTATACAAAATTCTCTATTTTCTGCTTTCATAGTGGTTATGAAATTCACCTTTTATTTTATTGTGAGACAAGAAATTGTTTGTGTGATGTTGAATCTGATTTAGAAAAAGAAGAATTTAAATGGACAAAGAGGTGCATGAGTAGTTCTGATGCTGGCACGCAGGTAGTCTGTGTGYATTGCGTGACATCGTTAGTGTCTCCCCTGTTCTTGTTCTGTCGTTTGTCATAGTGTAGCCTGGGTGTCATTTCACAGGGCAATGAGAAGTTCAGCTTTGGAGCTTTAGTCACCCTGAGAGTAAGATCTCACAGAACTACACCTGTGGTGTTTTAGGTACTCCTAGACCTTAAGCTTTGTGACTCTCTTTTTCCAAATGTTGCCCAGATGGTTGTTGTCCTGCAGGGTTTGCAGTTAATGCAGGGGAGAAGTTCCTGACTAGAATGACTCCTGGGGAGAGCTCAACTGGAGCCCATTGAAGTGAAGCTGGAGACTTGCTCAGCTYGCAGCCCTTCCTGGTTTTTCATCCCGACCTCACTCAGGGATGAGGTTTGGACGACCCACCGTTTTCTCCTGCCTGCCCTGGGTTGTGCTCTGGTTTTCCCAGAGCTGCCTCGTGGAAGGAGGGGGCTGTGGTGAGCAGGGAAAACCTGGGCTGCATCTGCCTCGCAGGTCACACACAGGCTGTGAACATGGAAACAGACATTCAGAACTGGGCACGACTGCAGCAGCTGAAGAAGTGATGCACAGCTTATTTTGCTGCATAGATAGAAAACAGTATTATATTATGTAGTTAGATTACCCTTCTTAACCTTCTTCTGAAACACTGCACTTTTTTAAGCCAATGCTAATGCTTTACTATGTAGCAGCAAATAATGTKCATGATTAAGTTTTTTTAATTGTCTTAGACTGAAAGTTATTTCCTTTAAATGCCATGATATGCATTAGGAAGCCTTCCTTCTCACTTCTCAGTGTTCAGCTTCATGGAGCTGAACTATTACAAGTTAAAACCTGTGGGTTTTTTAGTTTAAATTGCCATAAATGCTAATTCTAACCAGACTGAGCTGCATTTTTAGATAAGCTGGGCTCTCTGTGGAAATGTTTTGCTCATACAAGTGCAATGGATTCAATTACTAGAATAGAAAAGACTAATGAACTCAATTCTCTTTCCCTGGCAGAAGRGAATTAAGTATAGAAACTATTTAGCTAATCTTCTCTTTTGTATCTCTTTTCTGTGTTAAACCTTACTATACATCTTCTTGATATTTTAATTCTGTTTCTTAGCTAATACAGTTACTGAGCTAATTTATCAATAATGTGAGTACTTAGGTCTGGAAAACCTTATAGCTTTTGCTTGTACTGATTTTTTTTTCCAAATTCTTTTGTGCTAGGTCTTCCCCTTAGCAGTGTTTATTGTTGTTGTGTTTGAGGCAGTGTTGACCTGTCTTACAATTAATTTCAATTAGGACTTCTTTTCAGAATTTTGAAAATGTTTGGTAACGGTTTTTTCTTGTAAATAATTTATAGRCTGCTTCTATGTTTCATCCAGAAGTTTTAGATTTTGCAAAACATTGTACTCTTCTTACAGTCTTGTTCAGTCAGTCACAAGTAAATCTTCATGGACATGAGGACTTGGATTAATAGGTGTTGCTAGTTCAGTTTCTTATCTCTCACACTGATATTGTACTTTTTGGGTATTATCACTGATAAAACACACAGAATTTCTTCAGCCTATAAATCAAAGTGGTTTTGATGGTGGTGGCACAGGTTAATTAAAAGTGCTGATTGGATATCCAAGAGATCTCCCCAGAGGGAAGCGTCCACCCCGCTAGTGTGTGCTGAAAATCACACTTAATAGTGTGGCTGCTTCAGAGTTTAATTAGAGATGAGATTTAAAAACAAACAGTGTCACTTGTTTCAAAAACTTCAGACTTTTTGTCTCAGAAAGTTCAAGCAGTAACACCTCTAAAAAATGAAGCAATAAATCTTAACTCTTGAATGAAATAATCCCACTATGTGTCCTAATCACAGAATGGTAGAGGTCGGAAGGGTCTTCTAGCTTTAGAGAAAAAAAATTGCTTGTCTCTCTACAACTCATACTCTTATGTTTTAATCTTAAAACAATGATATAAGACTATTACTAGCTGTAGCTTCTTAGTTTTTCTGGGAAATACTAGTGTATCAGCCATAATATCTTTATAAGCAGAGAATGAACTGTGAAAAAATAAATGCAGGAATACAGGTTAGACTTCAAGAGATAAACAACTATTTGGTTCACAAGAGGGAAAATGGGAAATGAGTGATTTTTTTGGGGCTGGGGAGTAAGAAACGACCATTAAAGATGTAAAGGAGAGTTAAAGAGTGGATGCACATTAGTCCTTCTCTTCTCCTTAATTATAGCTTGCTTATACCTGATATTATTTTTTTACACTCAAAAATGTTCAGTGGATAGTGCTTTTCATTTTAATATCAGAAGTAAAAGAAAACATAGTGAAAATTTATTTCTTGCTTTGAGCCCTTTTAGTACCTTTTGTAAAAGAGATTTGGGGAAAACAGCAGCTGCTGGCTGCGAATATTCCTGTAATATTGTAATAAATTATTTTGACAGTGACTGCGTATACACTGGTTCGGTGGATATGTAATATAATGATTATTCAGGTGAATATAGTGTTTTTCTGTGGATTTAGTGTTGTTGCTGTTTTACAGGCCTACGTCAAAGGATGAGGTGTTTCACGTCCTTAGTGAAGAGGAGATGAACAAACTAGGAGCCAGGATTGTGAAAGCAGAACTCATGGGAGACATGGTAATGTTTTTAAAAGATTGTCATGATTTATTGCAGTTTTTCTATAAAGCTTTTATAAAAAAAAAAAAAGAGCTTTTTTATAAAGTGTTTATAAAGCTTTATAAAGCTTTTTTATAAAGTGTTTTTGTCTAAAACAGGAGATTGAGTCAAGCGGGTATTCTATGAAATATGCTCAGACAAAACTTAAAGATACTTTTTTTTCTGTAACTTCTGCTTTAAATGTCATTGTCCATAAACTAGAATAGATGATTCGGGTCCCTCCACTTGTAGGTTTGAAAGCATATCCCCAAACAGTTGTTCTCTGCCTATTTGTAGGATTTAGTGCCTTTCCATTAGGCAGGGAGCAGGTGAAAAACAACAAAAGCTCCCAGCCTGTTGCAGGGTAGGCAGTGTCTCAGAGTTCTAGTTATTTTGTCGCCTCTGTCTCAGGCAGGTGCTTGTGATTCATACTTCTGCTGTATGAACGTAGATGACTGGATTAGGCTGTGGAAATGATCTGATCAGTGTCTATAAATACCTCAAGGGAGGGGGTGAGGAGGATGGGGTGGCCTCTTTTCAGTGGTGATGTCACGGAACGAGTGGTGGCAGGGGTGAGTGACAAAATGCACTTCACTTGTATGAAAGAAATGATAATAGGATTTATTAATATGGACAGTGATTTCACGAGATTCTATGGCAAGGTCACTTATTATTCACTGCATGGAGGCTCAAGATAATACACAATTATCTTGGGATACCCTCCCGTTGGGTCACGAGGTTCRGATTGGACCCCCTTGCTTTCCAGGCTCCTTCTGAGAGGAGTCTGGGTGCAGCTGGATCCAATCCTAGTCCCAGACCTGGTCAGCGGTTTTTGACTAAGGGTTTCTGTGCACAGTTACAAAGTAAAGTTAAAGAAAGCGCGCTGTGTTCACTTACCACAAATCTGTCGTGGAAAGGCGGGAGGTCTCTCAACCTCGAGGAGTAACCTTGAGAGGCATCCCTGCTCAAGGGGAGATCCTGCTGTGCAGCCCGCTGCCATGCCAGGAGAGCTCAAAGGGCTCTCGGGCTGTCTGCTCATTTATAGAATAAGACAATTGACTTATAGTCATTCTTTYATTTCAGAGGCCCATTGGCTAGTGTATTAACCTTATCTCCCGTTTGGGATGCAACCCAACATAACCATGTTATGTTGAGTCTAACTGGGAGAAGAAATCAGAATGGTGGCGCCTACCAGGATTAGATAAATCGCTGGTGGTTAGCAACTGAACAGGGCTGCATGTAAGGTACAGGCCAGGCTGAGCTGGGAAAGGAGCATATCTGTCACAGGAAGCCACTGATATGACTAGAGGAAACTGCCACAAACTGAAGCACCGAAAGTTCCACAGGAACTTAAGRAAACATTTCTTAACAGTGAGGGTGACAGAGGCCTGGCACAGGCTGCCCAGAGAGGTTGTGGAGTCTCCTTCTCTGGAGATCTTTAAAACCCTCTTGGACGCAGTCCTGTGYCCCGTGCTCTGGGTGACCCTGTGTGTGCAGGGGGTTGGACTAGATGACCTCTGAGGTCCCTTTCTACCTTAACCATTCTATGATTTTGTGAAATATAAGATTGAAAAAATGTCTGTGGGTCCACCCAGCTCTGCAAAATGAGATCACCTATAGAGTGCTTTGAGATCACCTATAGAGTGCTTTGTAGAAGCCTCCCCAGATATGTGCTGTAGAGCCATGTAGAGCTGGGGTTGAGCCTCATTTCCCTTGGCCCACTAGAATAACAAATAGACCAAGAGAGTGTTGGTACATATACACACACATATATATTAGTATGTGTATGCATATATATATAGAGAGAGAGAGAGAGAATAATTTTGGAAAGGTTATGTGCTTGATGTAGTCAGACTTCCTTATGTAGTTTTCTATAAAAGAGCACCTGTTTTTAGCTACATARAGCATTTATTACCCTAACAGTGTAATGTGCAACATATTTTTGTTGTATTTTTAATGATGATATGTTTTAGATTCCTCTGTAATGAAAACTTTTTTGGATTTTATCTCCACTAAGGAATTGTGTGAATGATACTGGCATGTTTTCTTTAGTYTTCCTCTGTTGTAAGAGTTAAAAAATTATATAGAGCATGGAAAATTGAAGTTGTTACTTGTGATATAAAGGAATCTAAAAGCTTAAGCAGTTGAGCTAATTTGGTACTACCACTTTCTTTGCAGGAATTGGCTTCAAAACTWCAAGCAGAGCTTGAGAATGCACGGAAATTAAGGGAGAATCACAAGCAGGTTCCAGCAAAGACTGGCAGAGCGGTAAGGAAATATATTCTTCTCTTTGTGCTAGCAAAATGGTGTAATGTAAGTGTAAGTATATAAAATATACTTTAAAAAAAATAGACGTGACTTCAGATGATGTTATTTAACTACAGTTGTACTTCGTGGAAAAGCTTTCTCTAGTAACTTCACCTATCCTAGTAACTTCAGTAGTTAGTTATTTTTCTTGTAGCATTTTCTCAGAAATGATACTTACGCCTTCCGTTAGAAGTAAAACCAAAAAGTGTGATGTAGTGGCAGGTTGCCCGGGGAACCTGGATGTTGCTGTTGGGACCCTAGAGTATTTTGCCTTTCAGGTTCTGCAGGACCTAACATAGGCCCCGAAGCAGGTGGTCTGCGTCTTGCAAACCTCGCCAGGATTTGGTGCTGGCTGTTTCGTAATTCACATATTTAAGGAGTGACATTCAAGGAATGCATAGTAGCCTGTTTCCATACTAGTTTTGATATACCTCTAAAGGAAACAGCAGTTTGTGGACTATGTGCTTGTGAAGGGGAGGAGATTTTGGTAGAACTGTATTTTTTTTCATCCAATGTGTCACTAAATCAGTTCTAGACTTAAAATTCAGCTGCAAGTTATCATCCTAATTTGAAGAACCACTAATTTTTTTTTTTGAGAAGATTGGTAACAGACATCTTACATTAACCAATATTTCTCCTGTCATCAAAATACAAACTAATATGGGAGCTAATATACGATCAATTGTTGAGTACATCATGAAAGTTGTGTCAAAGTGCAAGTCCGTCCTGTAATTCACAAAGATGTAAGATTACCAAAGGTCTGTGTAGATAGACCAAAGGTCTGTGTATAAACAAAAAAGAAAAAGATGAAGAAAGCTAATGGAATGTGTGTAATTACACAGAACCATAGGTTTTAAGATAAGAAAGTAGTAAGCTTGCTATGTTAATGGCTGGTCTTAAAAAAATGTATGAAAAGATCTATTCCTTAGAAATTGAATACAAGTTCTAGGCAGTCCAGGTCTTAACTGTATTCTGTTTTCTATTTTTTTAATATAAACATTTCTTTTAATACCAAATTGATACAAAAGTACAAAATGTAAATGCTACCAACAGTTTGGAAGGGAAAAATCATTCACTAAAAGAAAAGTGAGAAGTTAACTTAGCATGATGTCCGTCTTTCTAATCGTCTTCATCCCGAGGACACTTGATCCCACAGCTTTTGCTTTTACTAAGTGATAAACTGCTCTGCAGAGAGTATTGTCCTCCCAGTTTGTAGAAGCATTGAAGTCAGGAATGAGCAAGAGTTTGGGATTCCAGAAGGATAAATGGATAAAGAAGAACGTGAGTTTGCATCCTCTGGTTGCTGCCTGACATAAGTCCTGCAGATTTACTGGCTTGAAGCACCAGCCTGCTGCCCTAAAACCTCAAAGGAATTGACTCGCTCCTTTCTATTCCTAAATATACTCTATGATATTTATGATTTTTCTTCTATTTGTGTGCTTGTACATCTTCAGCTTTACACTGTTGTGTGCTTATTTATCCAAGCTGTGTCTGGGGTCTGTCAGGTCATGTCTACTCCATCTCTTATACTCCCCTTAAGTCAAYTGGAGAACAAAAATTCTGTGATCCTCCCTAGCTTTTCTCCTCAAGTCCTTTTATATTTCTCCTGTGGGAGTTTAAGCTCTCAGTGACCATTTAACGTGGTGACTGATGTAAACTCCTTTGAAGGATTGAAGGGTTTTAAAAACAGAGCTTCTGCCTCCATGAAGGCAGCCTGTGGTTGCTGAATATCTACAGCTTTGCATTTCGTGTTGACCTTCTGTGTATCCCAGGGTCAACATTTTGGATAATTACATTATTTCAAGCCTAACTTTTAGCAAAATTCTCCCCAAACCACTTAGACCTCTAGGTTTACTTGAAATGACCTTGGTTTGGATTCCTGCAAGGCTTACCTTTCTGGTGGTTGTATGGCTTCCTGTGAGTTTTGGAGACCTGCTGTGTTGTCCTTGTGGAATCGTCTGGCTCATGGGCTCTTTCAAGGCTACTTCCAGCCGGAGTGTGAGTGATCCAGCCTGTGAGGCCGAGGGTTGCCCTGAGAGGCTCATTTGTGGAGCTGGTGGATTTGATACTGTTAGCATCAAACTTTCTAGAGCTTTCCCTGCCACAGTAATAGTGTCAATCAGTTCAGCCAGGTCTGCCCTGCAAAAGRTACCTGAAACAATTTCCACAGAAGTCTTTTTTCCAAAAGTGTCCTCTTTGCCTTGGCTCCTGTGGGAAACGCTAAGGATTTTGTTTCAAGGCTGGTCTTTCCCGGGTTCCTTGAGGCAGCAGGATCCTGAATTATGGCTGTGTCTTGTTCTTGCTTCTTCTGTGACAGGCAAAGACAAAACTTAAGAAGTGGTGAAGGTAATTCGGGGTCTCCCTGGGCTTCTCTGTTTTAACTTTTCTGRTTTTGCTTTTTCTTTTTTCTGTTCTTCCTCTTCTGCTCCCCTCCTCCCTTTTCCTTGCTTGATTTATTGAACACAAATCAATTCCCTGATTCAGTTCACTGTTGAAGACTTGTGTTAAAGTAAACGGGGTCCATGGATGACCAAGGTTTGTGAAGAGGACAAAATCAATTATTTTTTTGTCAGCGATGTTGGTTTAGTTTGCCTTCAAATGATCAAGAAAATACAGACTGTAGGTAATAGCAAGTGGTGTAAATTCTGCTTTTTTTCATTTTATTTTTTGTAAGAATAGTGTCAAATCTAGCTTGTATGATTTGGTTTAGACAAGAATTCCACCCCAAGCCATCCCAGAACTGTATAAAAAAGTGATTTTCCAATGCTGATGTTTAGTGTTAAATACTGTATCTCTATATGCCTGATATATATTTCACCAGGCTTTCACAAATTCCGATAAGACAGTTTTGAGAGTTGTTTTCCTTTTGACTTCAGTGATCCTCAGCTTGCTGTTTGTAATGCATTTGTAGCTTGTGAGCAGGGATTTCCCTCAGGAAGTGGCAAATCTTATATTGTTGCAGCCGAACTAGTTCAGAGTTGCATGTTGACTTAGCCCAGCTGGGTAATTTTATGGCCAAGATCAGGGAAAGAATTTTTTTTTTTTTTTTTTAAGTGTTACATTTCTGTTAAATGAAATGGAAAACTTTATGGTAGGTTTTCTTGCATGAAAGTATGCTATATTCAAATAGCTTGAAATACAAATGGAAAAAAAAAATAATAGTAATGTTATTGGAAGCTGTTTTTAGCAATGTGGCTTCTTTACTCCTAGGCCTAATTTTGCCTGTCCAGTGTTCCCTAGGCTTTCTGTGTAGCCTGAATTTGGATCTATGTATTTTTAATTTAAATATAGCTAAAGAGATTACTTTTTACAGAAATTCCTTTTAAAGACATAAGTAGCTGTCATCTTTTTTGCCCTTCTGGAAGGATAATAATGTTGTATGGGGATAGAGAAGCATGTAAATCATCTAGTGTTATCTACAAAAATTTTGATCTTAGTTAATTTCTGATTTATACATTCTTCTCCTGATTTTCTGTGGCTATTTTTTGATAAAATACCAAAGAATATTTATATGAACCTAGAATGAGGATAACTTACTTTCRGTAACTTCTGAACAGATGGGCTGTCCTAAGTATTGTCATACTTATCAAAGAAACCTAGCTATTATCACATGTTGTGCCTGAATATGTCCTTAAGAAGCTAAAAGTTTTCAACTCTACAATAAGAAAAGGTTGTGAGAGGACCCAGCTGCATATTGGGCTACCATAAATTAAGAAGATTTCTCAGGTTTGTGAATTAGACTAGGGAGGAAGATAATGAAGTGAAAGGTACCTCTATTATTTTTTTTTTCTCTTCACACCTCTATGCTATGTCAATAGCTGGTGGCCTTAAGAGACTCACAGATTACTTTCTGTATTGGTAACAATAAATAAATGTTCTGATCCTAATTTTGAACATGAAGTTAGAACAGCCTCAGTTTAACTTCTCCAGAGACCAAACAAGCCTGACTTTTGGCAGATTGGATTAAATATTTCTCATTGAACAGATCCTGTGGATAAGTCTATTGCAAACGAAAAGTACCAAGACTATGACTGAAAGCAGTAGTTGCCAGAGGCCTAAGTGTCCCAGCAACTTTTTTTCGTTGCCCTCYAAGACATGCATGTGTTTGAACGTAGCACCCTGCAGGCCTGTAGGCTGGGGCTGCTTCACACATGGTGCCTTTGGGCTCCCCTCGGCTTGGAGAGTCACTGTGTTGCTCAGGGTCAGCAGGATCTTGCCACGGAGYGTTTTTAATCCTCAAACTCCTTCATTCTGTAGGGGGCTCGAAGAAGTAGTAACCTTAAACTTGTAGGTCTTAGCATTTTAGTAGGATTAGTGATATGCTTAAAGCTTAAGTGCTTTGTTAAATATGGGACCTTAATTGCTGTCATGTTTAAATGCATGGGTCAAATGGATGCAATTGCAGTGAATACATATACAAAGACTGTTTCAAAAATAATGACATGAAAGTATAGTTTGTGCTTGTTTTGCTTTTATATTTGAGCAGAAAGCAACCTTCAGAGTCCGTGGAAATTAAAAAAAGCTGTCCAAATATGCAAATATACTCTTTATATTCAAATATGCTCTTTATAAAGCAATGAACCCCGAGTTAAATATTTTATCTTCAATTGAGGTTATGAACATAAGCATCCTTTAACTCATACTATGATGCTCATGTCTGAATTCACATGGGYGTTTTGAGGAAAAACAAGATCGCACATGGAGCCCCAGTGATACTGTATCAGAGAAGGTTGCTGTACATAAAGCTTCACATTTAGAACAGGTGAAGACAGTGAAAATGAGTATTTGTTGAATGTAAGGAGACAGCAAAAAGTTGTGGGGGCTTCAGCATTTAAAAAGCAAGTTCTACATATTCGTGATTTACTTTTTAAATATGGTTTGTATTTCTGACATCTGAAAGTGCTGCACATAACTGTCTGTTTCTGAGGATGTGCTATCAGCTGTTGTCATAACTGAATTGT